ACCAGTGCCAGGAAGACGGGGCCATGGAGGAATGTTTAACTTTCTACAAGAAAAGGAGGCTCTCTACTCCCACGATCCCTCACAGAGGGACAAACAAAGGAACTGGGTGTTCCATTCTCACCCAGCTTGTAAGATATTCGGATTAGTGAATGAATGTGGCGGGTTAATCTTACAATTACCAGAATGGGAATATTTAACAAAGTATAAATTCAATCTGCAGCAGATAAAAAAAAGACATAGCTGGGAAGCCATTGTGGGCCAAACAAGCACCACAGCGGTTATTTCTGTTAACTATTTATATTAATATTATGTTTTTAAAGGAGAACTATGAGGTGGGTGTTTTAGCCGACCTGTGACAATGAGACTGTCACAGGTCGGCTCAGTAGATCGGGAGGTGAGCGAACACATACCGGCGTTCGCTCACCTCTCGATCCTGTCACGGCTCTCTGCCGTGACAGGGGAGGGGCTGGATTCCCCCCTCCGATCCGCCAGCGCTGACTGGCGGAACGGACGGGGGAGGGAGCGGGTACAGCTGGCTCTGCCTCTAGATAGGCAGAGCCAGCTGTCAGTCACACAGCTGGGCGGATCCCGGCATACTTGTCGGGATCCGCTTCAGCTGCGGCGTCTCAGTATATAGGGAGCTGTAGCTCGCGGTATACTGAGCCTAGGGTGACGGGAGGACGCTAGTTTGTGTCCTCCCATTACCCTAAGGAGAACTATGGGGAAAAGCCTTAACCCCATAGTTCTCCTTTAAGGATTTTCGGGTCATATAAGCAGTGACTACTCCACAGCCCAGAGCCAATATATTTTAAGCCCAACTGGACTTTCAGTTTAAATTCGTGAAATACTAGGGGTGCACCAATACTAGTATTACTAGTATCGGTGCCGATGACGAGTATTTGGGCGAGTACTCCTACTAGGCCAAATGCTCCGAAGCCTATCCCGATACTTTCGGTATCAGAAAGCAGGGCAGCGCATCATTACACGCTGCCCGGCTTCCTGATTTGGCCCGGGAAGCCGGCTTCATGCTCACTCGTCACTTGTGACGAGAGAGCATAGAGCCGGCTTCCCAGCCAATCAGGAAGCCGGGCAGCGTGTGATGACTCTCTGCCCGGCTTTCTAATTGGTCGGGAAGCTGCCCAATCAGGAAACCGGGTGCCAAAAACAAACATTTACATATATGCTGTAGTCTGTTACTAGCATTAAAGGATAACTGAACCTTTAGTACAAGTTGTTTTTCAATGACTCCCCCTAACTTCCTCTAGAGTACCGCCCATCTGGTTACATACTTGGCTTCCCCATTCCAGCATTCTATACTCTACTTTTCTGGGAGGGCTTTTCCACAATGTTGGAGGGTGTCTGGGGGAATTTACGCCCATTCAGCCAAAAGAACATTTGGGAGGTCAGGAACTGATGTTGTGTGAGAAGAGCTGGCTCACAATTGGTGTTCCAGTTCATCCCAAAGGCGTTCAGTAGGATTGGGGTCCGGACGCTGTGGAGGCCACTCAAGTTCCTCCACACCTTACCCATCAAACCATGTCTTCATGGAGCTGACTTTGTACAGAGAGGACAGTCATGCTGGAACAGAAACGGGCCTTACCAAACAACACAAGGCTGGAAGAGCACAAATGTCTAAGATGTCTTTATTGGTTGTAGTATTACCAGGACCTTTCACTGGAGACACCTGAACTAAATTATTTGGAGGAACATCCACATACATTTGGTCAGGTGTCTTTTGGCCATACAGTCTACTAGACCTTTAGTTGTGCATTGATAAATATCATCTCAACTAGTCAAACTTCATTTTAAGGCCTCATTCACACGAGAAAAGGCCGGCACGTACAGCTCCGTGCTGCGTGCACGGCCATATCGGGCAGCTCCCGGGAAGGACAAGTGCTGCGTGTGATTAGTAAGCAGCCCCTGTCCTTCTCTATGGGAGTATAGGGCCATACACCGCCCTATGTGCAGGTCGGTACGGGTGCGGGTGTCCCGGCTTGGACGCTGACAGGATCTATCCTGTCAGCGTACGAGTACGGACACCCGCACAGACGTGCAGGGCGGGTGAGCGTTGGGCGTCGTACGGCCGTATACTCCCATAGAGAAAGACGGGGACTGCGTACTAATCACACGCAGCACCTGTCCTTCCCAGGAGCTGCCCAATACAGCCGTGTACGCAGCACAGAGCTGTACGTGCCGGCCGTTTCCCGTGTGAATGAGGCCTAAGTGTTTTCCATTGTGATAAATTCCTGGAGCTATTCTTGGAAAAAAAAAAAAAAAAAACTAATATAAAAGGTATAGCGGTAACATATAGCGAACTGTGAAGAGTAAAGTCCCACCAGCTAATATGGGGAGCAGGAGGAGGAAAGGGTGTAAAGGACACGGGGATGAAAGTAGGGCACAGAGAAAGAGGGACCCATTGAAGCATGAATAGAGCTAACTTGTTGATGAAAGGAGAATTAACTATTCATGGCACACTCTGCGGATTCCTCGTCTCGTCTTTTGTCCCTGTGAGAAAGTACTTGTGAGAGGTGGAAATCTGTTGTTCATTCTTTGGGAAATGTCACGGCAGACGGTGACGATCCCAACACTGCCACGGCGAGCTTGAAATACGGGCAATTATTAATTGCGTTGAGGCTTATTTATTACAGCTAAGAGATCAATCGTGTAGTAACTTTGTCAGATGATTGGCAGCTATGACAACGCATTTGTCTTTGCTTTATTAAAGTGTATGTGTAGCCATTTTAGACAGAGTGGGGAAGGATAAAACCCCTGGAAGGTTTTTATGTGTCACTACTTGAGGGATTTCCTTTCATTTCCTGTTCAAGAGATACCACGGGAAGGGAGGAAATCTCTGCAAAATGAGGGGAATATCCAGGTGTCCCTGTTGGAAAATTTAGATTTCCTATCACTTTGGCTCATTTACAGTCAGCACCTATAGAGAGGGCGAATCTCCCCTGAGGGGGCACAGACAGAAATGAAACCTAAATATAGGGTAAGCAATAGCAGTGCCACTCCACACATAACAGTCAATAACAATATTTTATTTAAGATTGCCAAGAAAAATGTAACACTTTTCGTGGGTCACGAAAGTCCCCCTTCTTCAGGACTGAACTCGATCAATAGTCTAAAATCCATCAGGAGCCGCGTGTCTCACAGGCTGCCAAACTGAAGCGAGTCACAAGACTCCTGTTGGAACTATCGGCAATAAATTATCTGTGCCATTGATGCTGTTGTCCGGTCCAGGTTTTAGACTTTCGATCCTTTTCAGTCCTGATGAAGGAGGACTTTCACAACCCCAGAAATGTGTTGGCTTAATCTTCAATCCTAAGTAAAATATAATTATTGACTTTTATACGTTGAATGGCACATAGGGATGAGCCGAACAACCCCGTGTTCGGTTCGTATTCGAACATTTGAACGGCCGAAATGTTCGAATAGCCCCCGGTACATGTAATAAAATTGTGGCTGCAGCGGCCTGTGTCCCTTCAAATCCCCGCTGCTCTCCGCGCCTGTCTTGGCAGAGACAGCGGGGACACAGACCCGCCTGCTGCTGTCCCGGCCTCCGGTCCCCTGGTCCGTCGCCATCGTCTAGGATCTCTTCTTGCGGGCCACACCCCCCTTGTGACGCCACTGGCCAATAGCAAGCTGGCTATTGCACCCGCCCACTGCCTTCTGTCAATCAGCAAGGGGGGGACCTGATAGAGAACTGTGTCCTTCAGGCCCCTCCTGCGCTGAGCCCTGATTGGGCAAAGTCTTGCACCTGACCTGTGGTCAGATGCAAGACTTCAACAAATCAGAGCTTCAGTGGGCATTTTGTATTATGGAATGTCCGCGGTCGAACAAACTGCGAACATCCCATAAAGTTTGGCGTTCGGCGAGAGCTCGGCCCATCACTAGTGGCACTTCCATTCCTTATCCTATATTTAGGTTTATTTGCTGTGACCACTGTCAATGGAACATAAAGTGATAGGAAATCCAAATTTGAATGTTTTCACTGAAACGGGGAATAGAAGAGAAATCTTGCAACCTGGTCACCTATTCCTGTGACAGCTGGTTAAAAGGAGATTCTCCCTTTTTGGAGGATTCTTCTCACCTCCTGTGTGGTCTCTGGGACAGGAAGCAAAGGGAAATCTCCTATGCAATAGTATCAAAGGCATCAAATGCATTGGTTGTTGGCTTTAGTTTGACAGCCGAACTGAAGTGAGACACCAGGCGCCTGATGGATTTCAGTCTTTTGATCCTTTGGAGATGTGTGAAAGGGAGATTTTTATAACCCCTGAAACTCATTTGCTTTTTTTCTTGGTGATCTTAAAGGAGAATTATGAATCAAGTGATTTTCACCCAGCCTCATAATCTGAGCCGACCTTAAATAAAGTACATTGCCTGGCCAAAAAAAAGCCACCACCTGGATTTAGCCAAGAAAATAGGCCAGAGCCTTCCATTGGATAAGTGTTATGATCTGGGGTTGCTTCAGTTGGTCAGGTCCAGTTTCAGCAACGCTATGCCCCCCAAAAAATGGGGGACATAGCTCTATCTGAATATACTTAATGATCCAGTTTTTCCATCAATGGATTTTTTCTTCCCTGATGGCACATTGGGCATATTCCAAGATGGCAATGCCAGGACTCATCGGGCTCACATTGTGAAAGAAGTTCAGGGAACATGAGACATCATTCTCGCACATGGATTGGCCACCACAGAGTCCAGAGACTGTAGCAAAATGCCTCCTTAAACGTTTGTGTGGATTGGACTATTTGGCTCAATGCACTTTGGGATGTGAGTGTGTAATAGGCATCAACAAGTCCTATGTGACCGATATGTGTGAACATAACCATAGCCATTTTGTTGTTGCATGTTTGCCTGTTGCCTGTCCAGGGTGTTCCCATTTTCAGCAGATTACCATCTTTAATACAAGCTTCTTCATCTACTATCACTGTTAACATGAGAACTGTACAGTTGATGATCTAGATTTGCTAATCTTGATTCTGTCCTTTTTACAGAGCCCCGGAGTTATGTTGAGTCTGTTGCCCGTACAGCTGTAACTAGTAGTGTCGCTCCACCATCCCCGACACCACCACAGACATACAGCATGGACACCATGAGGAACGGAGGATACCCCAACAACTTTACTTCCCCAAGCCCCATTTCTACAAGCAGCCCGATACACAGCATTGATGGGTAAGACAGTGTTGACATTTTAAAGTTTGTCGGCCTGGAGGGAAACTCTAAAAAAGACTTATCAGGTTGTGTGCCAATAACATTTCCTTTTTTGAAATGTGAGTTGCAGAGGTTCCTCCACTTATGTTTAAACCTCAAGTACCATGTTGATATGCAATTATTGCAATAGGGTTTCTCCAGCGCTGGTTCCACTGTTGTCTACTCAGAAGCTCTGAGCTTCTGAGTAGACAAGAGAAGTAGACAACAGAAGTTATCAGGTATTGGAAAACCTGTTGAGGCAAATCAACAGGTTTTCCAATAACAAATTTCACATCAGTCTTAAGTTTTTGTTATGGAGAACCTGAGAGCATAACAAGGCCTATTGCATATAAGCCATTCTTTCCATGCACTGGTGATGGCCAACACATCTGAAACGGCTCTAAGGAAGTGTATTAACTCAGGATAAGTTGCATATCACCAATCTGAGCTTACACATTGCTGATGACTCTCTCCTCCCCCCACCTGACAGCACTGATGTCTGAGTGGCCAATTGGCAAGCACCAGTGCTATCACATGAGAAGAAGGGGAATGAGTCACCTGCCCCATACTCAAAAGTGCCAGGTATGTTTCTTGGCTTTGGCAGCCAGTCAAGTGTTAAAAAAATGTAAAAATCCCTAAAACCGCTAATGGCATTTGTTCCCGCATGACTACATTTCATGGTTATCCAAAACATAGCGACAGCCTTCTCAGTAAACAAAAGACAATTCAGAATCCAACTATGCAGAATCATTTTAACCCCTTCATGACTGAGGCCTTTTTTTTTTTTTTTTTGCACCCATGTTATATTCCACATTTTAGGCCTGAAAATGACTTAAAACCCCCAAACATTTTATATTTTCTGAAATTTCTGTTTAAACAGCCCCGATGCTGGCGACGTACACTGTACGTCGTCAGTCACGAAGGGGTTACACATGCATTTCAAACATCCTCCTCCGATTCCGGAGCTGTTTCATTACCTTTTAATACTGCACTTTTTTTTTAAATGAATGGTTCAGCTTCTCTGTGTGGCCACTTCTAGGTGACGAGTACTCTTTTTAGTGACTTTTTACAATTTATTTCCTGCAGGGTATCTGTCAGAAGCTGTCCATCAGCAGAAAGCAGCATCCGTCTGCCCACTCCCACCCAGCCGTCTGTGGATTCCAGTTTCAGATCCAACAGCTTGTCTCAGGCATCGCCACAAAGCAGTTATCAGAACGCATCACCCACACCCAACATGGTGCCCCATGCGGGCACTCCTGTCAACTTCTATGATGGGTACCAATTCAGTCCAAATAACATCATCACACACACAGATGGTTTCTCGGGTCCTCCAGCAAGCTCACTGTCCAGCCAAGTTGTACATGGAAGCCCCCAGCCACTTCACAGAACAGTGGGCACAAATACACCTCCGAGCCCTGGGTTCGGAAGAAGAGTCATCACTCCTACCATGTCTAATGCCCCCCCAAGCCCAAGCTTGAGCAGGCATCCCCTGACAGCACACAGCGTGGGAACTGTGCCACCGGGTAGTCCAAGCCTTGTCCGTCACCAGGCTGTAATGACGGGAAGTGCCCCGGTCACCCCAGGAAGCCCCAGTTTGGAGCGGCATGTCATTCATGGGTTCTCCACCCCCGAAGAGCGGCGTGCAACGCTGTCCAGGCAGAGCAGTGCTTCTGGCTATCAGGCCCCATCCACCCCAAGTTTTCCAGTGTCGCCTGCATACTACCAAGGCATGAGCAGCCCCGCCTCCTCTTCTCCAGACTCCACCCTTTACCGCCAGGGAAGCCCTGTGCCGCAGCCCTCACTGCCTGAAAAACGGAGGATGTCTTCTGGCGACAGGTCCAGCAGTTTGCCGAACTACTCCACCCTCAATGGAAAGGCTTCTTCGCCCATGTCCAGTGGCATGCCCAGCCCTAGTGGCAGCACAATGGCATTCACCCAGACGTTGCCAGACTTCTCCAAATTCTCTATGCCAGGTAAAAGACTGTGCAAGTCCACTTTGAGTGGTCGTTTCCACCACATGCGCACACACACACGATCTATGCCACTAAATCAAGCAAAAATAAATGAGTGTATAGGCTACCTAAAGAATATGTTGTTTGCATTCACAGAGACTCGCCCATAGACTTGCATTTATCAGGAACAGTAAAACATAGTCAATGAGTTGCACTAGTATGCAGGAAGCACATGTTGTATATGAACCCTATTCTATAATAATGTATTCATATTTATATTATTAGTGTTATTAATAATTATTATTATATTTATATAATGCAACACTTTGCACAGAGCATTGCAATATAAGGAAGACACTACAGTTTCTATACCATTCAAGACAAGATGATTAGTTGTGAGCCAATGTGCATATAATAAAAGTAGATCTACATACTGAAAGAACACGTATCTTCTCCAGTAGAAAGTTTCCCTTTACAGTAGGGGCCCAATGTGTACAGGAGGGCGCATGGTAACGTACATCAAGATACACAAGTGCAGTATAATAGATAGATAGATAATAAATAGATAGATAGATAGATAATAGATAGATAGATAATAAATAGATAATAGATAGATAGATAATAAATAGATAGATAGATAGATAATAGATGGATAGATAATAGATAGATAATAGATAGATAGATGGATAGATAATAGATAGATAGATAGATAGATAGATAGATAGATAGATAGATAGATAGATAAATAGATAGATAGACCGACTGATGCCACCTGTGAGTTTGTTTTTATTTTATTTTTTTGTTTATTTATTTAGTTTTCGTCATTAACTTAATTCTCTGATTATAGACTTAGGGCTGCACACCTAGGCGACACCTCATCGTGCACGATTGTCAGGAGTGGCCTAGGTGTGCACCAATCGCGCTGTGAGTGCCATTATTTTCTAATGCCACCTCAGTCGCACCGGGCGATCGCACGGTTTCCCGCCCCGATTCCGCCCGTGCTTCCGAACATGCCACACGTTGCATGTCGCCAAACAAAAAGGTACATGTACCTTTATTTTTCCTGCGATTGCCTCGCCGATGTCACCCCATTGAAATTAATGGGGCCGCGCGGCAATCGCGGCCTGCATTGTGCAGGACTGCGAGGTCTGCATGAGGCCTTATGTTCCTCTACTAGTTCTCGATCTTGCTACGGATCATCCTACGGATGTTCATGCGAGTTTCTGTTTTTCAGACAGCAGCCCGGAAACCCGAGCGAATGTCAAGTTTGTGCAGGACACGTCCAAGTATTGGTACAAGCCGGACATTTCCAGAGACCAGGGTGAGTTTTCTTTCCCATTCACATACACGCCGGCCATTTTATCCTTTGTATAGACTAGGGGATTTCATAGCTGTAAGAAGTGTATATGGTTTGTAATGTATATTTGGGTACGATTACCCATGCTGCTTGTATGGAACTTGGAAGTGTGCGCCCACTCCGTCGCTGCTGACAGCCATCCCAGGCTCTGCTGTCTCCCATGTGGGCGCTTAGAATCGGCACTGCGGTTCCGTGCACCTCGATAGGAGGTAGATCAGCGCACTTCCAGCGGCTGATCTCCCCCCTGATCACTGAAACCGGGAGCAACGTGTATTACATCACTTCCATTTTCAGGCTGACATTTCTCTGGCTGTTGTGGCCGAAGAAGAAGCTGGTGAAGCACGATCTGTGCTTGATCAGCTTCTTTGGGGATCCATAGGTGACATTGGGGGTCTAAAAGACCCCTGATCTCTCCATAAAGAGGACCTGTCAATTCTTCTTTGCTATGAATGCACATTGCATAAACTATTGAAATCATTTTTATGATTCTAAAGAATTCTCTGATTTATTTATTTTTTCTTCCAATCCAGCAATTGCCTTACTAAAGGAGAAAGATCCAGGTGCCTTCATAATTCGAGATAGCCACTCGTTTAGAGGAGCCTACGGACTCGCCATGAAGGTCGCCACACCGCCTCCCAGTACAGGCCAGCAGAGCAAGAAAGGTATTTCCCGTGAGAGGAGTCAGTCTGTGATAAACCATCATAAATTGTATTGAAAGTGTCAGCATTTTATTGAATCCTTGCTCTATTTTTCCAGGAGATGCCACCAATGAGCTGGTGAGGCACTTCCTCATAGAGACCAGCCCCCGAGGAGTGAAATTAAAGGGGTGCCCAAATGAACCTTATTTTGGTAAGCCCCAACTTTAAAATGTTTCTTTTCTTGAAAATGTATCTTTTAATAGAATATTATGATTATATATACAGTGATACCTTGGTTTACGAGCATAATTCGTTCCGGAAGCATGCTTGTAATCCAAAGCGCTTGTATATCAAAGCGAATTTCCCCCCACAGGAAATAATGTAAATTCAGATGATTCGTTCCACAACCCAAAAATATTCATATAAAAATGATTACAATACTGTAATATAATACTGTATAAAATATAAAGAAAAATAAACCAATTACTGGTACCTTTGTGGCTTGTGTGAGGGGGACAAGAGAGAGGAGGATTATTGTGTAGGACGACTTTCACTGTCACTAACGGAATCACTGCTATCTCTTGGCTCAACTAAATCTTTTTCATTTCGTGAAACCTTTAAGGTGGCCATACACTTTACAACCACCTTAGTCTTGCGATGGTTGTAAAGTACTTAAAAAAACGTACGATCTGCCCATCTTGGACAGGCAATTCGTACTCTCGATCATCGCAAGCCCGCCCACTTGAGGGGCGGGCTTACGATGACTGTAATGAGGGGCGGGCTTACGATGACTGCAAGCGGCCCGTTCGGCAGTTGTCGAACCAGCAGGCCACTAACTCGCCGAGAATCGTGCAGTGTATGGGCACCTTAACAAGGATTCTATCCAATGCGACATTGCATTGTCGTTAAACAGACTCATCGCTCGCACTGCTACAGCCTTATTCAGGTGGTGCTTTCCTACAAAGATTTGCTCTTATTGCAAGACATTGCTTGTATATCAAGGCAACATTTTTCAGAAATGTTTGCTTGTCTTGCAAAACGCTCTCAAACCAAGTTACTTGTAAACCAGGGTATTACTGTATATTAGGGCTGCGGAAATACTTGGGCCGGTGAGTTTGCCCAAAGAACTTGTTCTGCACGAGCGCCAGCCAAGGCATTGGCCTATACACATACAGCACAGCACAGCAATGAAGTAATACAATGAACTAGGATCACACTAATCCAGCACGTTATTATTCTGAGTTACCCCACTCAAGCGGCGGCCATATTGACTGGGGCACGTGAGAATAATAACGTGCTGGATTAGTGTGATCCTAGTTCATTGTATTACTTCATTGCTGTGCTGTATGTGTATAGGCCAATGTAGTTGGATATGTATATGCGTTATAATCGAAATTAATCGATTAACAAAAATTTCGATTAATCGAACACGAAAATTTTAATCAGTACCAGCCCTAATATATATATATATGTGTATAATGTGTAGTTTTATATACATTATATTATATTGTATTCAATGTAGAGAATGTTTATTTTCAATATTAGTAGCAAAAAATGCAATTTTAGTGAAAAGTTCATATTTATAAAGCAGTTAATCTGACATGTTCACTGCAGGAATGTTCCTGTTGCATGTGTTTGAAATGACACTGACTGATTTACCACCAGAAAATGTTTGGTCACACTCACTGACTTACTGCAGCTTCTAATGCACATTGGGAGAAGCTCACAGTGTGCAGAGAAAACAGCGTGAGCAATTTTGGTCCAGGAGAGGAGCCTGGACAACTGTGGTGGTGGAAAGGCAGCTAGACTTACTTGGTATTCTCTTTCTTTGCAGGTTGTCTCTCAGCACTGGTGTATCAGCACTCAATCACACCCCTGGCACTTCCCTGCAAGTTGGTCATACCCACCAGAGGTAATAGCATTTTCAGCCATACCCCAATCCAACCCCAATTATAATTTGGTAATGGTTATGATGGAATATGGTTATGGTAGTGACCTCAATTTTTCCTTGAGATTGATAACACAACTATCCCTCCCTTCCCCCATGCCAAGGTCCTAGGTGTCATCCTTGACTCCGACCTCACCTTTCTTCCCCACATCCAATCGCTATCCAAATCCTGCCGCCTTCACCTTCCTAACATCTCCAAAATACGCCCCTTCCCCACCAATGACACCGCAAAATTACTCATACACTCCCTTGTTATATCTCGTCCTGACTATTGCAACTCCCTCCTCATTGGCCTTCCACTACACAGACTCCTCCCACCTATAATGAATGCTGCTGCTAGACTCACTCAGCTGACCAACCGCTCAGTGTCTGCAACCCCCCTATGCCAATCCTTGCACTGCCTTCCCTCCCCCGCCCCTCTCTGCCAATTCCTGCACTTGTTTCCAATAGCCCAAAGGATACAATTAAAAATATTAACAACCACTTACAAAGCCATCCACAACTCCGCCCCCGGCTATATCTATTGTCTCAAAGTATCACCCTAACCGTCCCCTCCACTCTTACCAAAGACCTTCTGCTTTCCACCTTCCTCGTCAACTCCTCCCATGCTCGCCTCCAGGACTTCTCTAGAGTTTCTCCCATCCCCTGGAACTCTTCACCCCAACCTGTCTGTCTATCTCCCACTCTTACTGCCTTTAGGTGATCCCTTAAGACTCATCTTTTCATGGAAGCCTATCCCACCTCAACCTAACCACTGAACTATCACTTTATCAAACAATTCATCCCCTCACAGCGACCTCCTCGTGTATCACTGGCCCCTCCCTTTCAGATTGTAAGCCCTGAGGGCCCTCCTTACCATCTTGTCTTGAATTGTATTGTGTAGGAAGCACGGCCGCGCCGGCAAAACGGCAGGAAAATGTCACTTTCGGCATTTAGCCGAAAGTGCCATTTTCGGCCGGCGCCCCCCCTTCACTTTTCGCCCGGGGCCCGCGCTTCTGCTGCACCCCCGGTTGTTACGCCACTGACAGGCTGTGTGTGTCTGTGTGTGTCAGGCCTATAATAATAATAATGGATGAGGATTCTTGTAGTATCCAATCAGCTTTCAGATACTATTTTTCTACAGAACTCTAGAATATGTAATCCATATGTGATTGGGTGCTGTGGGCGATGCTCCTAATAACCTTCTGGTCTGGCCTTTTATACAGAAGGTTCAGTCAGTTGTACCCAGCCATAGTTGTGCTCATGGTAATGAATTCCTACTCTTCTTGTCCCGCCAGATCCCTCTGAAGAGACCAGGGAAACCGCGACCCCAACCAACACCACCACGGACTTACTGAAACAAGGGGCAGGTAGGTGATTCCATGTTATCTGGATAGGAATATGTATTTGTAAGACGCAATTAAAATGATCTTATAGATTTTAGATACAATTTACCTTATTTTTCGCTCCATAAGATGCACTTTTTCCCCCCCAAAAGGAGGGGAAAAGTGTGCCTGCGTCTTATGTAGGGTTGCCACCTGTCCAGAATTCACCCGGACAGTTCGGGTTTTGAATGCTGTGTTCGGGTTTCATGGCAGCTGAAACCAGGTGTCAGACACACAGGGGCAACCAAAATTAAGATAGGGGCTACTGACCCCCCCCCACTGAAAATAGTCTCAACTGTGATATTTACATATGAAGGGGCGGAGCTATTTACATATGAATAAGCCACCACTCATTCTCCCCCAAAAAAGTCTGCGCGTCGCTTAAATGTGTTCGGGTTTTGCTTGAAGAAAAGATGGCAACCCTAGTCTTATCGACGCCCGAGACATGCAGTTTCGGGCGCCGGGCGAGTAGTAGGAGCCACTGCTCGTTTAATACGAGTGATCTAATGATATCACTCGTATTAAAACAAAGCAGCGGCGACGATCGAGATCACCATAGAGCAGACGAAGAACGGACGTTCTTCTTCTGCTCTGTGTGATCACTGTAATCACAGCGCCACCTGTCTCAGCGGTCACTAACTGCAGCTTCTGTCATAGAAGCTGTGACAGAAGCTAAGGTCTGTCGAGTGCTCCATAAGGCGCACCGGACCTCCCTGCGTCCTATGGTCCAGCACGTCTTATGGACCGCAAAATACGGTAACCTCCACCCAGATATTCAGTCTTCTCCTCTGTTGTGTATCTACAAGGAGACCATCAGCTTCCCAGCTAAAGAAACTGCCGTGCCCATTGACTGGTATAAACTGTGATTGTATGTTCCTCACCCCCTTCCATCATTTTCTCTCCCCCCAGCCTGCAACGTCTTATTTGTCAACTCGATCGATATGGAGTCACTGACGGGCCCACAGGCCATCGCCAAGACCATTGCAGAGACCTTGTCCGCTGACCCCCAGCCCACCGCAGCTATTGTTCACTTTAAAGTCTCCTCTCAAGGCATCACCCTGACTGACAATCAGAGAAAGTGAGTAACTGCTCCTAGCACATGCAATACATGTCTGCAATAAATGGACATTCCCTGTGTTTTATCCCTTTCAAAATGCGCAGATACAGAACATCAGTCAGAAATCCAGTAAGCTCCTAACTTAAATCCCTAACCGCCTTTGCTGCACTGAAATCCCTGACCAGTCCTCCTAGCTTCCTGAACACATCACAGGACCATGCCTCAGTACTCCCCTCAGTCCTGATGCAAGCAGTGGGCTGGACCTTGGGAGGAGTTATGCAAATATCAAAATGCCTTCATAGGTGGATTTCATTCTGGAGGAGTGGGTTTTCCTGTGCAGGCTGCATATGCATGGACACCGCCCCAGGTGACACCCACATGTGATACTGAGCCTACATGATGTACAGAACTGAAATCCAAGGAATGAAAAAGGCGGTCCTGGCACAGTGAGGCTGGTGAGGAATGGGCTAGCTGATGCTGGCTGTCCTCCAGCTAGGAAATGGGACGGGCTCTATCTGACTTGCTGCAGGTTCCAATGCACATTGTGAGAAGCTCCCAGTCTGCGGTGACATCAGAGGAAGCAATTTCAGTCCAGGAGAGGAGCCGCTACAACTGTGCAAGACTGAAGGGATGGAGGGAGGTCAGATAGAAGACTGAAGGGAAGGATGGAGGTCACATATAAGACTGAAGGGAAGGACGGAGGTCAGATAGAAGACTGAAGGGAAAGACGGAGGTCACATAGAAGACTGAAGGGAAGGACAGAGGTCATATATAAGGCTGAGGGGGAGGACGGAGATCAGATAGAAGACTGAAGGGCAGGCCGGAGGTCAGATATAAGGCTGAGGGGGCGGACAGAGGTCAGATAGAAGAATGAAGGGAAGGACGGAGGTCAGATAGAAGACTGAAGGGAAGGACAGAGGTCAGATAGAAGACTGAAGGGAAGGACAGAGGTCAGATAGAAGACTGAAGGGAAGGATGGAGGTCAGATAGAAGACTGAAGGGAAGGACGGAGGTCAGATATGAGACTGAGGGGAAGGACGGAGGTCAGATAGAAGACTGAAGGGAAGGACGGAGGTCAGATAGAAGAATGAAGGGAAGGACGGAGGTCAGATAGAAGACTGAAGGGAAGGACGGCGGTCAGATAGAAGACTGAAGGGAAGGACGGAGGTCACATAGAAGACTGAAGGGAAGGACGGAGGTCAGATAGAAGACTGAAGGGAAGGACGGAGGTCAGATAGAAGACTGAAGGGAAGGACGGAGGTCAGATAGAAGACTGAAGGGAAGGACGGAGGTCAGATAGAAGACTGAAGGGAAGGACGGAGGTCAGATAGAAGACTGAAGGGAAGGACGGAGGTCAGATAGAAGACTGAAGGGAAGGACGGAGGTCAGATAGAAGACTGAAGGGAAGGACGGAGGTCAGATAGAAGACTGAAGGGAAGGACGGAGGTCAGATAGAAGACTGAAGGGAAGGACGGAGGTCAGATAGAAGACTGAAGGGAAGGACGGAGGTCAGATAGAAGACTGAAGGGAAGGACGGAGGTCAGATAGAAGACTGAAGGGAAGGACGGAGGTCAGATAGAAGACTGAAGGGAAGGACGGAGGTCAGATAGAAGACTGAAGGGAAGGACGGAGGTCAGATAGAAGACTGAAGGGAAGGACGGAGGTCAGATAGAAGACTGAAGGGAAGGACGGAGGTCAGATAGAAGACTGAAGGGAAGGACGGAGGTCAGATAGAAGACTGAAGGGAAGGACGGAGGTCAGATAGAAGACTGAAGGGAAGGACGGAGGTCAGATAGAAGACTGAAGGGGAGGACGGAGGTCAGATAGAAGACTGAAGGGGAGGACGGAGGTCAGATAGAAGACTTAAGGGAAGGACGGAGGTCAGATAAAAGGGAAGGACGGAGGTCAGATATAAGACTGAAGGGAAGATAGAAGACTGAAGGGAAGGATGGAGGTCAGATAGAAGACTGAAGGGAAGGACGGAGGTCAGATATGAGACTGAGGGGAAGGACGGAGGTCAGATAGAAGACTGAAGGGAAGGACGGAGGTCTGATAGAAGACTGAAGGGAAGGACGGAGGTCAGATAGAAGACTGAAGGGAAGGACGGAGGTCAGATAAAAGACCGGAGGGAAGGACAAAGGTCGGATATAAGAGTGAAGGGGAGCAGTGGTGTTACAAGGGGTGTGCGGCCCGCACCCGGGTGCCACCATTGGAGGGGTGACACCAAAATGACTGACAGTCATTTTGATGTCACCCCCTTTGAAAAATCGGGCACACGGTCACGGACCGAGAGCCCAACAGTGTCAGTAGAGAGGAGGAGACCCGGCGGCATACCTTATCCCGCCGGGTGCACGTCCACTCCTCTTTCTGCCGGCATCCATCACCATGATGGCCGTCCGGCAGACGTCAAAAAGACCACTGCGCATGCGCGATGACGGCAATGCAGGATGATGTCACGGCGGGGTGTCACCCGGTCTCCTGCCCTGGGTGACACCCATCCTCGGGACACCCCTGAAGGGGAGGCCAAAGTTCAAAGCGAAGACATTTTCTGAAGCATTGATCCACAATCATTGGTGGTGCTACGACTCTTTCAAACTACCCCTGCTACCCTGCACCACCACCATACCCCCTCACCCCCACGGCTCCTTTTGTTACTTTGCCATATTGTCATTGTTTTATGGACTCGGAAACATACGTTTTCCACTAAAACATGACGCAGCGAAGGGAATCCTTTGTGAACTGGGGGATGCTTACAATTAATTGCAGGCTCCCATCCCGGGTCCGGGCCACATGTTGCGGCTCTACATGTTTTAATGGAAAGTGAAAGGTTGTGAGCAGAACATTTTCCAAGTAATTACGCTGTGACATCCTTCCCTCCGCATAACACAGAACAGACTCCTATAAAGCGTATTGTCAGCGCGTGACGCAGCGGACAGCTGCCTCCTATCATCTCCGGTCATATATCTATAGATGGACGGCCCTCCGCTCTCCAGCTGTTCCTCATCCTGCGGTGCCGATCCAGCCTTGCTGAGGCTTAACCTCCGGCGCGTGATGTACATTCCATAGTGTCCTGTGGATCCATTCAGGGCAGCCAGTGGGACCCCTGTGGCCCCGCACAGGGAGCCTAATGGTTTTCCAGATACAAGAATCTGCACAGGGGTCCCTTATATTATAGGAAGGTGACACTGTAACCCAATGTTCTAGAGTTCCTCTCCTTCACTCTGCAAGAATTCTTTATTGTAAGATTCTGGATATCCTCCAAAGTTTTATTATATCAAATCTGGCAACTCCCACAATGCACTGCTTTATAGGTGAAGTATAATGTACACATTAGGGATGCACCAATACCGTTTTTTCAGTATCGAGTACCCATATCTTGCTTTCGGTACTCGCTGATACCGAGTACCTGATACCGTTACTTTCGCTGGCATGGAGCCGGCTTCCCAGGCAATCAGGAAGCTGGGCGGAGGGTAATGAAATGCCGCCCGGCTTCCCGATTGCCTGGGAAACCGGCTCCATGTTGTTTGGCCGGCTTGATTGTGATTGGCCAGGAAACCGTCTTCCCAGCTGATCAGCATCGAGCTGGCTTCTCAGCCAATGAGCATGGAGGTGGCCGAACAGCCGGCTTAATGCTGATTGGCTGAAAAGCCGGCTTTCCAGCCAATCAGCAAGGAGCCGGCTGTTCAGCCGGCTCGATGCCGCTTGGCCCGGGAAGTCAGCTTCCCAGCCAATCAGCAAGGAGCCGGCTGTTCGGCCGGGAAGCCGGCTTTCCAGCCAGTGAGCATTGTGCCAGCTTCGCGGCCAATCAGGATGCCGGAAGGCGGGTCATTATTTGCCGCCCAGCTTCCTGATCGCACGGGAAGCTGGCTCCATGTTCCCCTACGGCACTGGAAGTTCCGGTATCGGGGAAGGTATCGGAGCATTTGGGCAAGTATGAGTTCTCACCCAAATACTCAGTATCGGCACTGATACCAATACTGCTATCAGTATTGGTGCATCCCTAGTATACATATTATCTTTCCTTCTTCCCCCTTCTCCCCCTCCCAATCAACATGCAATAAAAATGTATCAATCAATCATTTTGTTTATGTCACAGCATTCTGCCTCGGCTCTTTCTAAACAGAATAAAATGAAAGAACTCACCCCCGGGATCCCTTTAGAGGTGCTTGCTTATCCCTCCGAGCCGCTGATTGCTGCTGGCTTTAGCTGTGCATTTGGTTGATTGGTTGCAGGCACGTCTATAGGGATGCCAGGGATGTGTTCTTTCATGTAAAGCTCGGAAACAACATCATTGATAGCAGGGAAAGCTAATAGCTGTGCAAAGGGGACCAACGACTGTGTGGATTGGGAGGGGATTGATGAGCGGCAGAGCTGTGTAAATCTCAGGACTGGATGGGCAGAAATACCAATCATTTGGCATGTAAAACAACTCTCATATAAGGATTTTATTGGTGGATTTGGCGGTTTGCCTCCAGTGCAGCTTTAATAATGAGATTATACTCATACATGTTACCTCTTCCAGGCTATTCTTCCGGAGACACTATCCTCTGAACACCATCACATTCTGTGACCTGGATGCACAGGAAAGGAAGTGAGTACCCAGAAATGATCATATCTGTATTGTGCGGCGGGGGCTTATATGGGGCTTCACGGTCATGAGTGCGGTGGGGCTCTCTATTTGACAATGATATGAAGCGACGCATACATGCCTGAGTACTGGCATAAAAGTCACCAGATCTCCTTTATTAATTGCCCGAGCACAGGCATAAGACGCGCTAGATCTTCTCGTGGCCATCTCATTATTAGACTGAAGTGCTTCCGTGAGGCTGCTCCTGTGTGATAAAAGCACCCCGAAACAGAGGTTGGGGGTCTTAAGAAACATCCAGATATGTAAAATGTAACAAGGGTGCCACACTAATGAAAGGTGTTTTATTTGATGGCCAATAATATGACCGCCAACACGTTTCAGGAATACACCCTCCCATCATCAGGGCTTAGGTATAATGTGACTTCAACAATGACTGGACCCAAATACTTTTGTAGCTCTCACATACAATAACATTAGCAGCATGAAGCTCTATTTCAGGGAGAAAAGGAATCACGGATGCGCCGATGTATCGGCAGGAAAATGGCACTTTCGGCATTATGCCAAAAGTGCAATTTTTGTCCGATATGTTTCGGCGGCCGATATATCGGTGAATCCCTACTCTTTTATATTATTGACCACCCAATAAAATACCTCTCTGGACTCTATTACCATCGGTGTGGGGCCCTGGTTACGTTTTATATATCTTAGGCCCCATTCACACGTAGCGACATACCTTTTGCGGCGGCCGGGATAGCGCCACTTTCTGAGCCACGATCCAGCGACGGTAGCGCGACCTTCTCCGTCGGGCTCCATTAGAAAAAAGCAAAATCCGCCGAAAAAAGGGTCCTGTAGAAGCGGCTTGCGATCGCGACGAGCGACATGGAGCTAAGACAGCTCCATTGAATATCATTAGCCGGCGACTTTTCGCGATATCGCGCGGCAAAAATGCACGATATCGCGGCGGAAATCGCGCGATAAATCGCTATGTGTGAATGGGGCCTTAACCGCGTTCCCGCATTCCCTTACCCACAAAGTAGTCATTGACCATTGATAGATGGAAACATCCTCAACATTACAGAACTTGTCCAGTTGAATGTGACTAATATCATCTAATTAGGAAAAGAACAACACATAGCATGCTGCTCTGTATCCTACCAGTGCTTGTATACAACAAGCACTTTCCCTTTCAAAATCAGCCAAGGAGTCTCAAAGGCCCATCTGAGCCCCACTGAAAACACAGAGGCAGAGTATACAGATGAATCAATGTCAGCTGACCACAAATCATGATCCCAATGTAAGTTCAGGAAAACAAATCTGTGAATAGTATTCTATTTAAGGGGTCCAGATACTTTGTATTATTATACAGGATTTATATAGCGCCAACAGTTTGCGCTGCGCTTTACAATATAAGGAAGACATTACAATCACAATACAATTCAAGACAAGATGGTAAGGAGGGCCCTGCCCCTGAGGGCTTACAATCTAAAAGGGAGGGGGAGGTGACACATGAGGAGGTAGCTGTGTGGGGATGAATTGTTTGAGAACGTGATAGCTCAGTGGTCAGGTTGAGGCGGAATAGGCTTCCCTGAAGAGATGAGTCTTAAGGGATCGCCTAAAGGCAGTCAGTGTGGGAGATAGACGGACAGGTTGGGGTAGAGAGTTCCAGAGGATGGGGGAGACTCTAGTGAAGCCCTGGAGGTGAGCATCGGAGCAGTTGCGGAGGGAGCTGGAAAGAAGGAGGTCTTGGGATGAGCGGAGATGAGAGTTAGGGTGATACTTTGAGACCAGGTTGGAGATATAGCCGGGGGCAGAGTTGTGGATGGCTTTGTACAGTCAAAAACATGTAGATGAATTTAATATTGGCCTTCTCCTCTTCAGCATGTCGTAGCTGTCATTGGTTGGGGGTATGTGGCAGCCGTCAGTGATGGGAGTGGGTGCAGGAACAGCATGGCTCCCGCTGACTTGATGTAGAATAGAATATACAAGTAATAAGGCAATGCCATGCAGACATTACTGAGCGTTCTGTGTTATTAATCTACGTTTTGTTACCTCTTCAGGTGGATGAAGTCGGATGGAAGCCAAGCAAAGTAAGTGTCATCTTCCTTCTCTCCAGAAACCAATGCAGGGGGTCCGTGCGGGTGTTCCGCGATCATTTTTAAAGCCCCATTGATTTTTCACTTTCATTCAGCTAAATACATTTCTGGCGCTTCAAAATAAAAACTGTTCAAAGTTTTACAGTTCATTCTCTTTGCAAAGCAGCCGCATAGTGTACAAAAGGTCTATGCGGGAAGCAGTGGTCTCTCTGCAGAGGTCTGACACTCGAGCCCGGACTAGAGCTCTCCAATCACAGGGGCATGAGCTGTGCTGTATTTCATCTGTGTTGTCATTGAACAGCCTATGCATGTCCAAAAAGACTTCATGGAAGTACACAGGGCATGCGTAGCACATTCGGTCCTTCTGCCCTCCTGCACTTGGTAGCAATTCCTGACTGTCGAAATTACAGCCAGGAGTTGCTGTGTAAGCACAACAGATGTAGAAGCTGCTGCTGTCAAAAAATGGACTGCTTGACACAGAGTTTATAAACATTGTTCACAGGAGATGGGGAGATACCTTGTAATAATGTTACTTTTGTATCTACTCAGCATCATTCATCCGCAGATCAAAGGAATGTGCTCCAATCTGCATATGATGTCAGTCAAAGCAACCAGTTACCGTCCATGTACCCATTGCACTCCTGACCGCTCACCCATAGTAATAAGATGGGTGCATCGGTAGTCGACGGATGGCCACCGTCAAAATAGTACAGACAATTATGGACACCGTCACTCCAATGGTAGATAGAATAACGTCTATTTAATGACGTCCGTACAAAAACATATTAATTGCAATGTTTCGGGGTCACGCACGATCCCCTTCATCAGGCAGAACAAGTTGTTCTGCCTGATGAAGGGGATCCTGCGTGACCCCGAAACATTGCAATTAGTATGTTTTTGCACAGACGTCATTAAATAGACGTTATTCTATCTACCATTGGAGTGACGCTGTCCATAAGTGTCAGTTAAAACAACCCAATGTTTTTTCACCTTTTTAAATGCTTATAAACCCGTAGTTTACCCTAATCAGCCCTAATTAAAGGAGAACTATGGGGTCAGGGCTTTTCCCCATAGTTCTCCTAAGGGTAACGGGAGGACACAAACTAGCGTCCTCCCGTCACCCTAAGCTCAGTATATAGGGAGCTACAGCTCGCGGTATATTGAGACGCCGCAGCTGAAGCGGATCCCGACAATTGTGCCGGGATCCGCCCAGCTGCGTGACTGACATCTGGCTCTGCCTATCTAGAGGCAGAGCCAGCTGTACCCGCCCCCTCCCCCGTCCGTTCCGCCAGTCAGCGTTGGCGAATCGGAGGGGGGAATCCAGCCCCTCCCCTGTCACGGCAAAGAGCCGGTATGTGTTCGCTCACCTCCCGATCTACTGAGCCGACCTGTGACAGTCTCATTGTCACAGGTCGGTTAGAACTATGAGGTGAGTGAAAAGCACTCACCTCATAGTTCTCCTTTAAGTCCTCCTTCCCCTTCTCACCTTATTTTAAGTGACACTAAACTCAGGAGTTAAATCTTAAAAATACATTCAAGTCCCTGAATTGTAAACAACAATGTATCTTATTTGTGTATCACTCGGCTGTAGATCCTCCAATCATCTCTGAATAGGTGCTGACACTGTCCTTCCTTCTGGAGGGGGGAGACTTTTGTTCCTCATGGTCACTGTGTGTGTTGTAGAGTAGTCACCGCTCCAAGCTCGCTCCCGGGATGGACTACAATCAGGGACGCCCAGAGGCCAGGTGTCACCTGGAGCGGATACCGGGTAACACCCCGCCGTGACATCATCGCGCATCTTATTGATACCTCCCGGCGCCCATCTTGGTGACGGATGCTGGCAGAGAGAGGAGGGGACGTTCACAGGCCGGGATAAGGTATACCACTGGGTCCCCTCCTCTCTCCTGAAACTGTCGGGCTCTCTGTCCATGACCGAGTGGCCGACTTTTCAGAGGGGGGTGACACCATAATGACTGTTGGTCATTTTGGTGTTACCCCTCCAATTGTGTCACCCGGGTGCGGCTGCACCCCCCTTGTGACGCCACTGACTACAATCTCATGTTTAGTTTGTCTAATTTGTATTGAGATTGTAGTCCATCCCAGGAGCGAGCTTGGAGCGGTGACTACTTTACAACACACACAGGGACCATGGGGAACAAAAGTAGCCCCCCTCCAGAAGGAAGGACAGTGTCAGCACCAATTCAGAGATGGTTGGAGGATCTACAGCCGAGTGATACACAAATAAGAGACATTGTTGTTACATAGTTCAGGGACTGGAATTAAGTTTTAAGATTTAACTCCGGAGTTTAGTGTCACTTTAAGTAATGACAGGATTGCTCTGGTCCATAGGAAGGTGTACAGTTGTGAGAACTGAACCGGTACTGACAGGGCTGCCCATAGGTTTGCATTGATAAAGCAGTATTATAATTTGCGTATGTAATAACCAGAATTGGGCTTTATTTAATACGTCCATTTCGCCGTTTCTCTTCCAGGCTCTTCGGCTTCGTGGCTCGAAAACAAGGGAGCACGACGGACAACGTGTGCCACCTGTTCGCAGAGTTGGACCCCAACCAGCCGGCCACTGCCATAGTCAACTTCGTCTCCCGGGTGGCCGGCTTACAGAAAAGATGAACGCTCCAACGTGTCATCTCCTCCTGTTCATGAACCAGCCCGAAGTTTGCTAAACGGACTCTTGAAGAAGGTCGAGAGAGCAAGTGCATTGTGGGAAATCGCAAGTGATTATTATAGGGGGGCCATTTCTGCTCGAAAACAATAAGCAACAACAACAACAACAAGCTACAAAAAACCACAAAAAAAAAGAGAAAATATTGAGGAAAATTTTCCGATAACCCCATTTTCCTACCAAGTGGCAGAATAGGACTTTGCCAGCGCAAACGGCGCAATTTTTGGGTCACTTATCAGCCTGCTCATTATTATTATTATTATTATTACCAGTCTGCAAATGCTAAAACGGCATACTCCGCTAAGTGCATATATAAACCTATCTAGTGTACACAAAATTTATAAGGAATTTTAGAAGAATATATAAGGCTCTATTTTGTATAAAATGCATCGAGTGTACAAAGCTACCTAATATTTACTGTCTTTTTAAAATAAAATTTTTAAAAAAGCAACCCTTATGATGAACTGTATGAGACGCAGATCGCGGAGAGCGGCCGCGTTGCACCAATTTTTGTGAGCGGGCACTTCGGTGAAAACTGTCAGAACTTTGCACTATTGTACTTTGGCTGTGGCGAGCGATCCTGGTGAGATGGCGACACCTAGTGGTCAGACGGAAGTTTGCGACGGAGTAGATTCTCTGCATGCGAGATGTTTTAAAATGTGCGGTTTCTCTATTTCTTTAGAACTTTAAAGAGACAGTAAATGAAGGTTTAGCCTGTATATCCGTATCTCGCTTTAAACATTAAAACATGCTGCAAGGAAAACATTTTTAACGAGTACTGAGCAAGTTTAAATTTAACAGGAAGATGAAATCGTGCCCCAAAGTTTCTGAATCTTTTACAGAACTTGTTTTGACTGAGCTTGATTTATCGGTTTGATGCATGGGCCGGCAATGTTCTGTAACCCATAGCAACCCATTAATCCCATAAGACTGTTATGGATTGGTTGATGTGGGTTACTACGCCTATGTGGAGCCATCTCATAAATGAAGCTATATTGTAGGAAATATACAAGTTTCCTGGGGTCGGAGACACAGATGTATGCAATAAGGACTGCCTGTATTATCATTCGGCGGCTTGAGGTTCTAATTGTCAGTTTCGGGTTTGAATCTAATTGGCTGCAGTGGTGCAACAGATGAAGTTCTTAATTCAGACACTTTAATTAAGGAGATGACGTATTTGTAAGAGAGGATGCTTATTCTGATTGGAGATCCTGTTTGGGATCCCTGATGGGGGTACTCCACCTGTACGTGCCTCAGCGATGTCACCTTCTCACCTTCAAAGATGATACCCTGAAAGAGCAATCATTTGCCAGACAAGTATGGCTGCCCTTACTGAATGGCAGAGGGGGACTGACTGATGCTTTCTAATTAAAATGCATTTCCTCGAGAGGTCTCAGTCTCTAGCTATCGTGTCTGGACAAAGGCAAGGATTGCATCTTCCGGTCTCCATGATTTTGCCAAATTAAAGGGAACCTGTCACAAAGCAAAGATACCAGAAGCCTCCAATGGAAGATGCCACTCTGATGCCTGGCTGGGCTGCATACTCATTTCAATGGTAGTGAAGCTGAACTGTATCACCTTCACTTCCTGTGCTGTGACCGCTCCAGAATTGGACTCTCTTGCAGGTGGAGAGTGCTAGTGCTCATCTGAGGCTCATCAAGTCGGGTTTCTGCTTTATAAAAGGTCTTCTATGACCTCATCTGTGTCTCTGACCCACGTCATCCATATGCGGCTGATACGAAAGCATCTAATTTGTGTTATTTTAGTTACATCCCGATGGAATCACTGCAGCATGGCGTTTTTATTTGCTCGTTCACACTAACTGACGGTGTCATTATATGAAATTCGGACTACTAAGATTACTGCTTTTGGGCTGTTATTGTTTTATTATTATTTTTAGCTACACCTGACTATAATCTGTAGCAAGCTTTTGGCTCTTTTACTTGGGTGGGACAACCAAACTGTAGCCCCGCTCCGGCCAGGGAACCAACGATCACCTATTCTTGCCTTAAAACGACCGTGCTGTACTTAGCAGCTTTATTACTGTACTACTGAATCCATATCTCTAGGGTTTGTCTACAGATATGTATGATAGATATTACGTTTTGCTACAAAGAAACTTTAAAACGAAATAACCGCGATATCCCCGAACGCTTAACCCAGCCAGGTCAGTGTGACTTGTATGCCGAGCAAGGTTGCTTCACGTTGTACAATGCAATTCATATAAGCAGATAATATTTCAGAATTCAGAGTCCCTTGGTGGATCCGGTGCCGTGTACACTTGCTCCATTGTAGTCAGTGTTATTCTATTACAAACACATCGGACTCGCTTTAGTATACCTGCAGCCTATCCATCGCATATCGCCGCAGCCTATCCATCGCATATTGTCGCAGCCTATCCATCGCATATCGCCGCAGCCTCTCCATCGCATATCGTCGCAGCCTATCCATCGCATATCGCTGCAGCCTATCCATCGCATATCGTCGCAGCCTATTCATCGCATATCGCCGCAGCCTATCCATCGCATATCGCCGCAGCCTATCCATCGCATATCGCCGCAGCCTATCTATCGCATATCGCCGCAGCCTGGTTATTTTAAAAGTTGTGCTGTACCCGCTTAGTCCCCTATGTCATCGGCACATATGTACTCCCCATAGAGTTTATGCAGTCGCCATTAAATTCCATGTCATGAGCTGTTGTACTATTATTAAGCCTCGGATCCATAACCATGCAAACCCACCATACAGTATTAACTCTCCGCATGTTACATATACGGCGTGTCCTTACAGCTTACTAAGGCACCTAGATACGGTCAGACGAGGTCTACTAAAGTGCAGGAACGTCAAGATACACCTAGAACTTTCCTCGCTTGCTCTATTCTGTTGCACAACAACTTTTTTTTATGTTGACCAACTTTGTGACCATAGTAAAGCCCAACTAAACGTTCCACTTCAATCCGCGAAATACAATTCCAGCTGCATCATAGCAAAAGGTGTTCACAACCTTACAGTTTGTGTTCTGAAGAATGCAGTCGCATCCTGAGTGCTGCTGAAAGCCAATCTCCTACTGGCTTGCTGCAAAGAAGAAAGGGCCCCTTGCTTTTTGTATGGAAGCAGTTGTGTCCCTGCAGAGGTCTGACACACACACACACACACTCTGTGTCAGAGTTAGAGCTCTACAGTCATTAAAGCTCATGCTCCCTGCTGAGTGGAGTGGTCTAAGCGGGAGAATCCAACGTCTGAGGTAGTGAGGCCACTGCTTCCACACAGAGAGCAAAGGTCATTCTCTGCAGCATGCTGGCAGGGGACGGCTTCTCTACTCAGGCTGGGACTGTTTTATTATTACATAGGATTTATAGAGCGCCAACAGTTTGCGCAGCGCTTTACAATATAAGGAAGACATGACAATCACAATACAATTCAAGACAAGATGGTAAGGAGGGCCCGGCCCGTTTTCTAAAGCACTGCATCTGTAAGGCCTGTTGAGTGAGAGCTAGAGCTTTCTACTCATCAAAGCTCACGTTGCCTGCTGATGGCAGACCTCTAGCTCCTACTGAACTTCTGCAGCAGAGAGACCGCTTCTTCCACACAGAGAACAAGGGTCCTTCTCTGCAGCATTCTGATCTTTTCTACTCAGGCTGTGGCTGTTTTCTAAAGCAAACCAACTGTAAGACCTGTTGAGTCAGAGCTAGGAGTATCCAATCCTCAGAGCTCTTGCTAATTGCAGAGCTCTAGCTCCAACTCAACAGTGTGAGTGTCCAACCTGAGAGAGACCACTGCTTCCACAGCGTGCAAAATAAAGATTCACATCTGCAGAGGACGATTTAGGAAATGTGTTGCACCCTTCCTGTACTTTAGTAGATCTCAGTCTTCCTCCTTGTCGGCTCTATACGATATATACGTCCCTCGAGCAATTTTTACTCTTATAGTGTTATTAGTCCTTACAGTTATAAGCTTAGCCTCCGTTGTATGGAGCCAATGGCGGCCCTTCTGAGACCTACAGCTTAATGTCATCTTTCCTGACTCCTTTTTCTGGGTCCTCCCCAATGACTAACCATGAGCAAGGTTACAACCCTTTGCTTAAACTTACTGCAGAAACTTTGTCTAATTCTACTTAACTTAGCGAAACGTCACTAACGATCGTTGTATCCCCTGTTTTGTGAAGAAGGACTGAGCATGTGAGAAGGTTTCAGAGAAGGGCGAGTCTTTTGGGAGGCGTGAGTGTGCGTATTTTTTTTTTTTTTTGTTCCTTTGCGTTTGTGTGTGGGTTAAACAAAGAACTCGTTCTTTATTTAACGTGATGTAAAAATGGCACTTTTGTAACTGCTGTAACCCTGTGACCCCCCCCATTGTGTGTACTGTACAAGGGCCACCCCAGAGAGCATCAACAGGTCCCACTGAGTGCCTTAGGCTTATAGGACTCCTTGTGTGCACAGGTCAGAAGCGGGTGGTCGGGGTGCACAGGGTTAAAGCAGCGTGCCAGAGGAAACACCCCGTGTCGCCCCTTTGGCTGGATAGTTGGGTGCTTTGTCCTTCTGTCTAGCCGTGAAAGGGTGTTCAGTATGAAAGATTCGATGCAGCGTGTGGAAGAGGGCTGGTTTATGTGTTACTAACGAGGAGATAACATGTTATTTTTTATATGTATAGCAAAGCTTAGCGTATAATTTGTAATGCTGAATGAAGATTTGAAAGAAGGCTTGTTGTCTTATCGGGTACAGGCTCTTGCAGAAAGCAGTATGACATTCATAGCGCAATGCCCTATCTTGCTGGGAGGTTGCAATGCTAAATGCACTCCTGTCATCATTTTGATACAATATTTTTCATAAGATTCCATAGGTCGGGGTAGGCAAACTCCAGCTGTGGTGTAACTACAGATCCCACCATGCTTCTGCCTCTGGAGTCATGCCGGTGGCTGTCAAGAGTCTTGCATTGCCTCATGCAACTTGCGGTTCCACAAAACCGAGAGGGCCAGAGCTTGCCCACCCCTGCCATAGACCATATGGCCTCTGTTTCAGCAAAATCTCCCTTCTATAAGGCGGGTGGTGCCACAAAACCCTGCCATGTTTTTAGCAAAGGAGTATAAAATCCTCAGCATTGCAATGCTATTATCACATACGCTGTTGCATCTCTTAATATATGAACTGTTATCTTTGAGACCCTTGGGTGTGACTGAGCTGTCTGCAATGGATACAGTAGTATCTAGAGGGCAGGGTCTAGTAGTGAACAAAACCCGACGGCTCTTCATGATGGTAAAAATAAAGATGGAAAGTCAGACGTACAAAAAAAGAGAGGGAGCCCTGATATTGTTGCAGGGTGGTATGCAGAAGTCAATGAATAAAACCTTTTGAATTGGAAACCCCCTGAAAGAGCCTGTACCCATAAGCAATTGATTTGCGTTTCACTGTTCCTGAGATAAATCATTCCCATTCTATAGACATTGAGAAT